GTTTAGAGAACACAGTTTTCTTGGAATGCTGCTTTAATAACAGACTATGTCAATTTCTTTGCCTTTACGTGATTTACATTTGCTTTTAAAATCTTCTGTTACTTTGGTAAAGTAAATATTATTTCACAGTGATCTGTAAAGATTATGATGGCACACGTAGATAAAGTTCACTCTTGTTCTACAAAAATTGACCCCTCAGTGTCAGACTTTTGCCATCCTGATGTCCTGAAAACATGACAACAGTCTACTCCTAAATCAGGGAATTAAAAATGTGTAAACAATAGCTGTCAATCAAACAGTCAGGGCTATGGAAAATCCAAGACGGCTGCTTGGCTTTTTCCGGCTCCCTAACAAACCTCATTTTTTATTTGATGGTATAAAGCCTTCCCTGGCTGCAAGGTTAATGCCCTCACAGTGAAGAAAAAAAATTATGTTTTACTGAATATTAAATTCTAGTTTTGTTAATTGAGGTCTGTGTTTACCAAGACTCACTTCCCAGATAGTTCCTTGCTGTTATGTTATATTGCTAAGAAGTTTAATTGAATTATTAAAGGCCACTCTAAGTTTGTTTCTAAAGCTGATCTCAGTAATCTATCTTTGGATGAAGATCAGATGCCCCACGACTGACAACCAGAGGATTATACATACTGGAAAAGACATAATTTAAAGGACTATCTCCAAACTGGATGGAAGGACCCTTATCTGGTACTCTTAACTAGCTCGTACACAGTAAAACTAAAGGGAATTAATTCTTGGATTAATTTCCACTCACAAAGGGCCCCTGCACTGGACTGGCCTATAGAGAGGGCAGCTGACCTCAAAATCACCTTAAAACAATGCTCAAACAGCGGAGAAACTACACTCACCCCAGGATGAGAAAAAGACAACATCAGAAGTAGACAGCTTACCCAAGATACTGGACCTGACTCATATGCCCATCTATAATGTTCTCTTGACTTCCTGGACCTTTGCATATGAATCAAATGTTTTTCTATCATAGGCACGATCCTATGCTAGTTTTAAAAATCAATCCAGTTGTTGGGTTTGTGGCCAATTACCTATGTCTAGTACTTCTGGATTACCTGAGTGGACTTCTCCACTCCAAGGCTCTAATTGGTTGACTCTTAAGAAATTAATCGTAAAAGGAAAATTATAGTCATGTCCAGGCCACTATTGGTATTACTAGATAAGATCCCCTCACCTGACCCATTAATAATACCTGCTCTGACCCTGACCATAAATATGAATTTTCCTCTATTACTCAAAGTTCAATCAGAGCAACAAGCAAAATTTCAGCCAAGGAATAAAACCTCCCACCATCATGGGATGGATTTATGTAGTTAACACCAGGCTATGGTAATTTAAGGTTAAAGGCTCCTCTGTGCTGGGAACAATTAAATCATACTAAGGATAATCATTCTAGTAACACTAGGAAGCTGGGCTGAGTACCTTATGGACAATGCCAATGTATAATTTCCCTGAAGAACAGGGATTAGTATAGAACAGACTAAGTCAAGACAACCTGGGATATACTGGGCTGCACCTAATGGAAGTTCTTGGCTATTTGCATTTTGCCTATTTCAAAAAAATGATTGTTTCTTACATTACCAAATGTGTGACTGAGCCTCTGATAAAGTGAGGATATATAGTTCCATGGGAGATCAAATGATTACCATAACCTAACTTTTAAAAGTTCAGTCTGAGACTCCTTATAAAAGTTTCAGTACCTTATGGACAATGCCAATATATAATTTCTCTGATATATATAAATATATAAATAATATATAAATTCCCTTCTCATATATGAGAAGGGAGAAGAAGCAACAAGAGGGAATATCCTGGACCATAAGAGACTAGGAAGACAGGTGGTCCAGAGACTTCTGGATACGAGTAAAGGCCTAGTCCAGTAATAGCACATGGAGTGGCCTACTAGCAAAATCTTTGCCAGACCTGGGAAAGAGCATTCCTAGCACCGTGGGACAAAATGGTCAGGAAATGCCCCAAACCATGGTTGAAATTATGACCATAAAGGGGCCCTGCCGACTGAAAACTGACACTTGCCATCTCCTTCTACAAGGATTAAATCATGAGCTTCTGTAGCTGGTGACCTTCAACACCCTCTACAAGGAGTTCAGGGTGGAGATCTTAAATGAGGCACTCTGTGCTCTGGGAAAAACAGACAAGGACAGGCCTTCAGATAGTTAAATACTTTCAGGAGAAGATTTTATGAGCCCCAAGTCTTGCATCTTCTCATACCTAGAGAAACACTGACATCATTAACAGGGACACTAAGGTGTTATTTTAGGCAAGTCCTTTTATTGCTAAGAACTTGAGTTTTCTGAGCTGTGTTAGATTTGGGATGTTACCAGCCATTCTCAAAAGAACGTCTGCTGGCAGCTGGTAACTGCAACCTTACTTCTTAAAGGTCTCCTCTGGTAACTATTACACTTTTAGATGAAAAACTTGCTTTAGGTCATATGTTAACAAAAAGAGAAAACACATATGTAGTGACCAGTAGCTCCTGTTACTTATATGTTAATACCACATCAAAGGTTAAAACCTATTTTGATGAAACTAGATAACCGGCTACCTAGCTACAAGTCTCCCCAAAGCGCCAGGCCTAGACTGGGTTTCAGGCTTATTCTCCTAAAAAGAAATGAGATCTATTTTGTCTATTAACGTTTAGGTTGTCACTCCCCCAAATACTTCTAACAGAGTCTGTTACACCTACATCAACACACTGGGCTAATAGAAGAGGACATAAAATTATATATATGACTACACCAAATGGCTCCATTCCTTTAGACAGGGTAACCCAAATGCTGACTCTACCTAGACCAGGATCAAAATTACCACCGAGTGTAACATGGCTCTTAGTCCTGCTTGGGACCCCGGCTACAATAATTCTTTTACTAATCTTTGGCCTCTGTTTTTTTTTTTAACTACTTGTTAAGTTCTGTCTCTTCCAGATTACAATAGGTTCACATCAAGATAATGATGATGCAAAGATTCCAGCCATTTCTCAGAACAGATCCTGCCAAAACAACAACAGAAGTCACCCTGGGGCCCTTAATAAGACAGGGTGAGAGCTCCGTGACCCCAACTAGGTAGGGTCTACGAGCCCCTTGCCAGCCTAAAGAAGCTACAGAAGACATACCGTCGTCCCTTATCCTCCCAATGAAGATTTCTTGGGGTTCACGCCTCTCAGGGGGGGTATAAAATAGGAGATAGATGGGCCCCTGGGCCGGAGAGCTGGTGTTTGTCAAGTGGAGCAAAACTGAAGTTTTGTCCTCAGCCAGACAAGAAGGACGCCTGTTTCCCTACCTCCATTGATACGGAGGGAATGAACTAGCAGTGGGGAATTTGTTGCAGCAAAAATAGAAGTGAAGTTTTCTCCCTCCTGAGAACAAGGGAACACTGAACAGGCTAGAGAAGAAACATGACCTGGCCTGAAAGGTTAATCACTCCTAGTTTTTTTTTTTTTTTTTTAACTGTTGCTAATCTGTAGTTTCTGTAAGTAGATTTGTACTTCACAAAGCTAACCTATTACTCTTTAACACTATGTGAATTACACTCCCTTGTAGTAAATCACCCCTTGTAGGATTTGCATTTCAGAAACAAGGTCGCAGGCGGATAAGGCAGAGACAAACGGACCCAATTACCCGACTGCCTGACGCCAGCTGTGACTGTTTTGAAATAATGCCGGAAGAAGAATGCAAGACCTTCACTACTTTGATCCTTATCATATACCCCCGGAATGCAGCCCCACATATAAAATCTTCTCCGATTCCCGAAGGAGGGTGGGGGGCACAGTCCTTGAGGCGCTAGCCTGCTGTGTCTTCCCTTGTGCCTGGAAGAAAAAAATCAAGCCATCTCTCTCTTCCTCCAAAATCTCTGGCTCCGAATTTCTGTTCAGCATCGGTGCACAGAGAAGCCGAGATTTCGGCAACAGTTCTACTTATTAACTCAAGGCTGAAGTCTCAGGCAAAGAGGGCTGCGTTTATATTTCAAGGACATGTAAGAGTTAACCTCAAGCTTTCTCCTAGGCATATTTTTGTTCTCACAGGGTCAGAATTCTGAAAAAAAGTATTTTATCAAACCAGCTTTCTCTAACTGCATATGCAAAAAGAAACAGTTTTGGAATAAAAAAACTTCATCTTGGCCATTTTTCTCCAGAGTCTAAAGAACACTGTGGCCATGCAGTGTTAAAAAAACAACAACAACAAAACTTTGGGCTTCCCTGGTGGCGCAGTGGTTGAGAATCTGCCTGCTAGTGCAGGGGACACGGGTTCGAGCCCTGGTCTGGGAGGATCCCACATGCCGCGGAGCAACTGGGCCCGTGAGCCACAACTACTGAGCCTGCGCGTCTGGAGCCTGTGCTCCGCAACAAGAGAGGCCGCGATAGTGAGAGGCCCGCGCACCGCGATAAAGAGTGGCCCCCGCTTGCCACAACTAGAGAAAGCCCTCGCACAGAAACGAAGACTCAACACAGCAAAAATAAATAAATTAATTAATAAACTCCTACCCCCAACATCTTCTAAACAAACAAAAAAACAACTTCTTTCTCTTTCTAGGAGCATACTAAAAATCACCCAGTTTTGTAAAATACACCCTAGGGAACAAGTACAAGATGGAATAGAGCTCTCATTACCCATTTTCCTTTTAGACATAGGCTTATAGCTGTAAGTTGGTCATTCGGCCATAATCCTTCCCAAGGGACTTTCAGACGGAATTGAAACGGCACCTCCCATGTTTAAAAGCAGACAAACGACAAAGGAACAACAAAGGAACCAAACCCAACAAGGCCAGCTAAACAAACAGGAACCTTTCAAAACTCAAAAGAGAACAAAAGGGAACAACTTCCCCGGGTTCTATGGTCTCACTCAACCGTGACCGCCATACCATTGGTGCCACAAACAACCCGTAAAGGGCTGGAAGTTTCACAACCTTCCTTAAAAGTACGGAATCAAGGATCTCGGTGTGCACACCAGGGGACTTACCCAAATGGCCAAGGTGTCTCGACTCTTCCAAAATCTGTTTCCTTTTCCTCCAAGAAGGTTCAAGTTGCAGGGGACCATGTCCTATCTGGGGAGAGAGACCGGAGTTCCCCAGAGCTAAATGGGGCTCTGGCCGCTTCTTGGACAGTCCCTCACTCTCTTCCCGGAAGGCAGCCCTCTTGCCGGCGTGGGCTCCAAGTGCAACCTGGGGCGGGGGCGGGGGCGGGGGCGGGGGCGGGCCCTCGGGGCGGGCCCTCCCCGCTCTGACAGTGTTCCATCGGGCTTGGGTAGGGGATGAACACCACCCCACTGGGGAGCCGAGGTGCCTCTGGCTGGCTCAGCCAATTTGTAACCGAAAATTTGGTCCCTGTCCCCGATGCCAAATGAGAATAACGAGGGCAAGGTTTTGAGGATAAAGGAAGGAAAAATTTCTTAATGTGCCAGCAAATGAGGAGGGTAACAGACTAAGATCTTGAAAACTACCGTCCTACTCTCTGAAAGAGGGCAGGTCTATTTAAGGAGAATTTTGAGGGTGGGGATCACAAGACTATGTGACTGAGACCTCGCTGGGCTGGAGCCATTTCTTTTGATACTTCCGTGATTCATGGACATTGCGGTGGTCTGCCTCCGGTCAAGGCGGACCAGACTGACTGTTTTTCTGCTGACTGCTTGATCCTACACACCTGTGATTCAGGATAAAAAGAAATAGCCAAACAGGCTAGAGCCTATCAGCATAGTTAGCAGAGAGAAGCAGCATGTGTACATTATTTGAATTAAAACATGAGTTAAAAGAGAAGGTCAGCTGTTAAAACTTTAACTCTGTAATTGGCTACAAGCAGACCTAGCTGCCAGCTCAGCCAGTTAGAGGTGCCTCTGTAAATGCCAACCCAGGTCAGTCTGTTCTCACCTGCAAGACCTGCGTCCTGAATCCCCATAACTTGAGCCCAAGGGAGTCATTGATCTCACCCCATAGGACAGAGAAGCCCTTTATCTATGGCCACTCAGACCATGGTGCTTTGCACAAGGGCCCCTGCCATTGTCAGCAGATGATGGAATTCAGGTGAGGAAGCCACGAAAGGGAGGTAATGACCAGTGTCTTCCCAATATCCTTCTCATCCTCTTCCTAAGATCCTCTTCCTGATTCTGTCCAGAGAAGCAATGTATCCAGTTACACAGTCTTTCTCCCACCCCAGACTCTCTTACAGCTAAAGTTGCCAGGTTACATGAATCTGGCCTAGGAGATGTAGATGGACATCCAGGTGGGTTTCTAGGAAATCTACTCTTCTTCAGAGTCAAGAGGCACAGATTCAGCAGGCCTCTGCCCTTTGCTCTTTCTCTTTATTTCCCTTCTTCCTGCCTGAAAGGTGGGCAAGATGTCAGCAGGTGGATTAGCCATTTTTCTCCATGACTGTGAGAACCGCATGCTGTAGATGGTAGAACAGGAAGCTAGAAGGAGTCCAAATCCTTGATGACTTTCTTAAGCATCACCAGAGGCATCCTGGGCTTCTGGGCATGTCCAGGAGGAGATCCTCACTAAAGTCCTTCTCCAGAACCAGGGACACTTCTCCTTTTTCTTCCTGCTGAAGAACACTCTTCTCTCTGACTCATTGCGTATTTGTTACAAGAAAATGAGAAAAACTCATTGTTAAGAGACCATGGTTAGATTTCAGTTACATGCAGCCACTTATCATCCTAACGCATATGAGTATAATATTTTTGCTTTTTGATAGTGAGTCCAGATGGACATAAGAACCAGAAAGCATGGGATTGGGGTGTGTATGGAGAAAGCCAGCAAAGATATTTTCCTTGAGATAAAGGAGAGGTCTGTTCAAGATGAAATCTCTTACTTTGTGATCTAGGGCAAGTCATTTGCTTCCTAGCATCATGTAGGCAAATTATATTTATATATAAATGTATACAGATTTAAGTGCATGCATATATAACATATGTATATAAAGTATGTATATGTGTACAAATTATAAATGTGTATACATATAAATTAATTTATTTTCATTTCTAGTACTTATTTGTAATTGGAGAGGGTGTTGGAACTAGTTGAGGACCCATGCCCCTACCAGCTGGACCACGGTATGCCTGGATGGCTGGGGACATCAGAGTGGTTAGAAGCACAGACTGCAGCCGGACTTCCTGGCTTCAAATCACAGTCCCACCAGCTAGTGAGTTGTCTCTTCTCTTTGTGTCTCCATTTTCCCCACTTACAAATGGGGATAATAATACTACCTCATCGACTCATTAAGAGGATTCAAAGAGTTGCAATTTGTAAAGCACCGGGAAGAGTAACTGTGGCAGGATAAGCTGATGTGCTTGTTAATTGAATGTCAGCCCAGTGCATTGGCCTTGTCCAAGGTGCTGATGCTCCTAAGGTCTCAGTCCTCCTGGGAACCATGGCCCGTGAGACCTGGATGGCCCCATTTTCTATTTTAACAAAGCCAGCCAGGTACTGCTTGTGCCGTGCTCCCTTCCAATCCCAAAACTCCGGTGGGGAACTCTATGCATTTAATTGCTTACCTAAAAATTCTAGTCTTGGCTCTGACACTCCCTGATCTGATTCTGCAGCTCACTTGAAATGCCAGAGTGGCAATGTCCTTCCTTATCTGTGAAGTGAGTTTGCCTCGTTTATTGGCCCTGCCCTCTCACTCCTCTCCATTGATAGGTTATTGTTACTATCTAGTGACTGGAGATGGGAGTCAGGGGTCAATGGCAACTACCAGGGAAGTCTGGGGCGCCGTGGGGCAAGAACAGAAATGTAGCAAGAACCTGGGAATGGACTCAGGGTGAGCAGTAGGCAGGTACCCTGTTGTTGGCCTGACCACGGCCTTCAGGTCTGCCCCAGGCTCACCATTGCCAGAAGCTGGGTTTTTGCTTCAGGCCTCTCCTCTTCTGACTCCACATCTTCCTGTCCTAGGCTGAGACTCTGCACTGGAGCCTGCAGTAGGTGGGGTGGCTGCTCCCTCTGTATTCTTTGCTGTAGAAACAATCAACCGTGGCTCAAGGGTATGTTCCGGCCATGACCCCTGCTGGGCGTCCTCTGGGGACAGAGGTGGTTTCCCTTGATTTCCTATGGCCCAACCCCTTACCTTCATGCCCTGCTAGGGGCCCAGCTCAGCCCCTCCCAGGCCTGATGACAAGCCAGTAGCTAGTAAGAAAGACATCAGAAGCCAATCACTTGCCAGCACTTTCAGGAGCCTCTGGTTACCACACTTCTGTCTCCAGCTCTTCTGGGTCATAGCTGAGGTCAGGGCCTCCCTGAAACATGGTCCAGCTGAGGGAGCATCTCCCTTGCCAGCAGCCTAATGGGGACTGACAGCGGAGGGCTTGTGAGGCAGCCAGGTCCTGCAGGAGGTTGGCTGCTGCCTGGCAAGGCTTGTGGAGGCTGGTATTTCCGAAGCTGGAACTTCCTGCCCAGTGGTCACATGCACTCAGGCCCAAGGAGACTCAGATTTGGCTACTCAGACCCCAATTCAAACCTCTGGGGCAGTTTCCTAAGGAGGGGACAAGGGAACAGAGACATTGTTTCGGCTACATGAAAGCACAGCAGTAGCTGGGTTGCCTTTGAAATGGGCAAAGATGGGTGAGAAGGAGAAGAAATAGATCAGCATTATGTAACTGACATGTACTAAACATATAACAACAAGCTGTGTAAGCTAGCACTATTCTGAATCCAATATTAATATTTAATCCTACCTATGATCCCATGAGGTGGTGGGGTCATTGTCATTCCCATGGATCGATGATAAATGAGGCAAAGGGAGGTTAAGTAACTTGCCCAAGTCTTCACACAATTGAGTGATGGAACCAGGATTTGGATCCAGGCAATGTGGCCCCAGAGAGGTTGGTCTTAAGTGTTCATCATCTTTATTCGATCCTGCTGACCTTCTTGGCAGTGTTATTCCCACTCTTCAGAAGCTAGAGAGACTCAGATTTTACATAACTTGTCCAGGTTTCCACAGGAGTAAGTAGTAGAGTTGGTATTCAAACCCAGGTCTAATCTGGCTCAAAACCTTTGTTCTTTTCATTAATCCAGGGCAAACCACAGACCTCAGGCCAAATCCAGCTCACTACCTGTCTTGTAAATAAAGCTACTTTTATGCTACAAGAGGAGAGGAGTACTTCTGACAGAGACCTTTACAGAAAATGTTTGCTGAAACCTACACTAAAAATGTAGAATGGGTGAAAAGCAGCAACTCCCACTTCTGTCTATCAGCAGCTGCCTAGAAAGGTAGTCATTCACATTTTAGTGTGAATTCACCAACCATATCTGTGGTCGCTCCCTGAGAGTATATCATAGAGTCAAAAACAGAAGGGGGGACTTCCCTGGTGGTCCAGTGGTTAAGACTCTGCCCTTCCACTGCAGGGGGCATGGGGTTCCATCCCAAGTCAGGGAACTAAGATCCTGTATGCCACGCAGTGTGGCCAAAACGCCCCCCAAACAAACAAAAAAACAGAAGGGACTTTACAGAATCACCTAATCCAACCTTTTCATTTTACCAATTGGAAAACTAAGGTTTAACAACTGTTGCCAGGAAAACAGATGAGATATTGGATCTGGGGTGGATTAAAATGAAAAGTCAACATAATGCAGGGTGATGGAGATTTAGAAATGAACTCTGTTGTCATACTGATTTCATTTGGGGTGAGGACAAAGAGAGATGCCATGTACTATCGGAAGAAAGAGGCCCCCAAAGGTAATATATACCAGTGAGTCTTCAACATTTGAGAATCTGATGAATGTATCAATTTTCTCTCCCGGAAAGGTAGACATAAACTCATGCACACAAAAATTTGCGTTTCATTTCAGAAGGTTCTGATATTTCTGAAGCCTATCCATGAACACTTAGTGTTAATAACCCCTGACCCATTGCACAGATGAACAAATTGAGGCCCAGGGAGAGACTCCACATATCAGGGCCTTTTGGAAGGAGATAAAAATGAAGCTCTATCTCTCCAAACATAGGACAGGAGTGCTATTAAAATTGGGACATTTCAAAAGCCCACCAGTTTCTTAAAGTGAAGCCCACCTGTGAGGCTTCTCCAACTACATTTGTCAGCCTAGGGGACAGAATGGCAGCCAGCCCCCCAGAAGAGCTGCCCTTTCCCCCTCTGCTCCAGGCTCCCTCCTCTACTCCCGCAGGGCCCCTTATTAAATGTCGGCAGGCGTGAGGGGAGGGCTGGAAGCCCAGAGATAAACCCATGCACATATGGACACCTTATCTTTGATAAAGGTGGCAGTAATGTACAATGGAGAAAGGACAGCCTCTTCAATAAGTGGTGCTGGGAAAACTGGACAGGTACATGTAAAAGTATGAGATTAGATCACTCCCTAACACCATACACAAAAATAAGCTCAAAATGGATTAAAGACCTAAATGTAAGGCCAGAAACTATCAAACTCTTAGAGGAAAACATAGGCAGAACACTCTATGACATAAATCAAAGCAAGATCCTTTCTGACCCACCTCCTAGAGTAATGGAAATAAAAACAAAAATAAACAAATGGGACCTAATGAAACTTCAAAGCTTTTGCACAGCAAAGGAAACCATAAACAAGACCAAAAGACAACCCTCAGAATGGGAGAAAATATTTGCAAATGAAGCAACCGACAAAGGATTAATCTCCAAAATTTACAAGCAGCTCATGCAGCTCAATAACAAGAAAACAAACAACCCAATCCAAAAATGGGCAGAAGACCTAAATAGACATTTCTCCAAAGAAGATATACAGACTGCCAACAAACACATGAAAGAATGCTCAACATCATTAATCATTAGAGAAATGCAAATCAAAACTACAATGAGATATCATCTCACACCAGTCAGAATGGCCATCATCAAAAAATCTAGAAACAATAAATGCTGGAGAGGGTGTGGAGAAAAGGGAACCCTCTTGCACTGCTGGTGGGAATGTGAATTGGTTCAGCCACTATGGAGAACAGTATGGAGGTTCCTTAAAAAACTACAAATAGAACTACCATATGACCCAGCAATCCCACTACTGGGCATATACCCTGAGGAAACCAAAATTCAAAAAGAGTCATGTACCAAAATGTTCATTGCAGCTCTATTTACAATAGCCCGGAGATGGAAACAACCTAAGTGCCCATCATCGGATGAATGGATAAAGAAGATGTGGCACATATATACAATGGAATATTACTCAGCCATAAAAAGAAACGAAATTGAGCTATTTGTAATGAGGTGGATAGACCTAGAGTCTATCATACAGAGTGAAGTAAGTCAGAAAGAAAAAGACAAATACCGTATGCTAACACATATATATGGAATTTAAGAAAAAAATGTCATGAAGAACCTAGGGGTAAAGCAGGAATAAAGACGCAGACCTCTTAGAGAACGGACTTGAGGTTATGGGGAGGGGGAAGGGTGAGCTGTGACAGGGCGAGAGAGAGTCATGGGCAAATACACACTAACAAACGCAGTAAGGTAGATAGCTAGTGGGAAGTAGCCGCATGGCACAGGGATATTGGCTCGGTGCTTTGTGACAGCCTGGAGGGGTGGGATGGGGAGGGTGGGAGGGAGGGAGACGCAACAGGGAAGACATATGGGAACATATGTTTATGTATGACTGATTCACTTTGTTATAAAGCAGAAACTAACACACCATTGTAAAGCAATTATACCCCAATAAAGATGTTAAAAAAACAAAAACAAAAAAAAAAAACCCTAACTCCAATTCTGGAGGTAAAATTTAAAGGATCAGATGATAATACCCCCTCTGGGATGTCTGCCCAGCTCCAATTCGACAAGCCAAACCCACCCCGACATCTTTGGCATAAATGTATTTGACTCTCCCAATGCTGCTGTGCAAGGTTGGGTTCATGGCTATCCAAAAAAAAAAAAAAATTCCATAAGCTCCAAATGGAAGGGACCTTAGAGGTATGCAACCCCCTCTCACACCCCTACCTGACACTGAGTTCCCTCTACAACCTCCCTAAGAGACATCACTGGGGTGCTCACTACTTCTGGCACTATCCCATTCTCTGTTTGGCCTCAATTCAGCCCTCGGGCCCACCACCCACTCCCTGACGGCCTTTATATACTTGAAGACATAGACTGAATTGTTGGTTGTCAATACCTCCCTTATATTGGGGTCACTGTCTATCTGCTTACTTGCATTAAAAATAACAATGTAAGGTCACACCTTCCCCAAACAATACAATATAGCACTAAGGCCCTAAGTGTTAGTGTATCCCTCTTCCCAGAAAAATGCACACAAGTGCTAAATTGCACATTCATTTCCATCCAACTGGAAGTTCTGATCCCCTTGAAATTCAGCCCTAGAAACAAAAAAGTGAAACTACTAACTTGGTATCCACTTTCTACTTAAATAAAAATGTGTCGGGCTTCCCTCGTGGCGCAGTGGTTGAGAGTCCGCCTGCCGATGCAGGGGTCACAGGTTCATGCCCCGGTCCGGGAAGATCCTACATGCCGCGGAGTGGCTGGGCCCGTGAGCCATGGCCACTGAGCCTGCGCGTCTGGAGCCTGTGCTTCGCAACGGGAGAGGCCACAACAGTGAGAGGCCCGCGTACCGCAAAAAAAAAAAAAAAAAAATGTCAATCTCAGAGCTAGGATTACAGATTTAACTCCCCCCTAGTCTTCTGTTCCATAGGTTATCAAGAGAGTTGTTTGGGTGAAAGGTGGGCCACTATGACCAGAAGCTCTACTTTACTAGCTGGAGGCTGATCACAGAAGACCCATTGGACTTAATTTGTAGCATTTTACCTTCACGCCAGAAAGAATTCCACTACCAGATACATGGCACAGGAAATATCCTTTATTATTCTGTACACTTAATTTTCCATGAAGAGAACAGCTTTTAAAATAAACGCACACACCAGATATAGAAATATGCATGACATTGGAACAGTCCATGACACAGGGCACCACTGAAAGAGTCCTTATTTACATAAAAGTGGAGAAACAGAGGGATGAGGGCGGGAACCCCAAAAGCTACTTCACATTCACCAGAATTTTGGTGACTTCTATGATCGCAGCTATAGCCATGCTGCACATCGCAGAGCTGTGGATTTTGGGACTCATAAGAGCATGACAACTTACCCTCAAATTCCGCAAAACAAAAGGGTTGGATTTATTTTTTAAAATACCAAGTGTTTCTGGCATCAGTTGAAGAAATATTGTCGAAAGAGGAACTACTGAATGTCCAGAAAAATCATAGTTCTGATATGTCTGCTCAGTAGTAGGTTATTGGTCACTAGATCATTCTGGAATGTCCTAAAGTAAACCGTGTGCTTCCTTCATTGTAAATTTACAACAATAACATTGTTACGGAGACAGGAAATTTTATTTACTAGATGGGACCTTTGATCTCTGATCCAACCCTTGCTTTTACAGACAGAGAACTCTGAAGCCCACAGAGGTGGAGCCCCTCTCCCCAGGTGACCCAGTAAGACAGCCATAGACCCAGGTCCATGCAACTCTAAATGCTGTGCTGTTTCCCCCACGCCACACTCCCTCTCTGTTCTTCTCCCTTCCATGGCTTTCAAAGGAAATAAAGAAATGAAGTGAGCTCAGTGGGCTTCTTACTAAGAAATGATATCTTTGGTAAGAATGTTTGGTCTCACATTAACGGGATCATTTGGCAAGAGACTGGCTCCCACCTGGGCCGGAACCCCTCTGAGAATTAAGGCAGCTTTTAGGACCTTTATTTGGCATGATATTTGGCAAGAGTTGGCAGGTCCCCTTCTCCTCTGTCTCATTCGCATCTAGAATGAAGACCGACTCACAGGTAGACACTAAATTATATAATTAGACATTGAGTAGATGTTAACGGGATGGTATTAAACAGATATTTTTACACTTCATGGAAAATAATAATTCCTTAAAAAATCTGGTAAAGTATCAAAAGTGCTCTATACAGTACACAGGAGCACCCTTATCCCCGATAACCTCTACTATCAAAAAAAAGGCCTCAAATAAGAAGTCAAACATTACTTATGATAAAGCCCATGCTCCCTCTCCAGCGAGTGTGGGTGAAAGGTGAACCCAGAAGGTCTGCCAGCACCTCCTCGAAAATGTCCATGGGTGCCCCGGGTCCCCCCATCTCCAGAGCCCCTCCCCAGGCTCGGGAGCCAACTTCCCCTGCAAGGCAGCACCACTGGGTTGGTTGGTGTTGGTTCAGGTAGCACCACATCTCTGATTCGCCTTCGGACAAATGTCTGGAGGCAGAAGGGCCACGCGCAGATGGCAAAGAGCAAATGTCAGGCTCTCTCTGAAGGGTGCCCCTGATACACAGGCTTTTCTGACTCATTTCTGCCAAGGAGGCTCAGCTTTTCACAACCCACTGTTCCCTAGAGTGATTATTTTCATCAAAGGAGAGCAGCTAAATCATTTCCTCTCTAGCAACCAGTTAGAGGAGAATAAATGACATCCCCCCACGCCCCCCTTCTTCCAACACATTGTTCTTTTGCTAAGAAATATGCCTTGGCCACTTGACTGGATGGATTTTTGTTTATGTTTAATGACAGCCCTGGGTGGGGTGAACCATATTGTGCTGGGAATTTCAAAGTGCTCTCAGCTGAGAGTCAGGGGCTGTGACTTGAGGGTCCAACTGGATCCCTTAGTAGCTGGGGAACCTTGAGCAAGAATGACTGAAATGCTGGACCTTGGTTTTCTCACCTGCAGAATGGGGACACAGAAGCCAGCCCTGCAGTACTTGCTGGGCGGATGGGAGTAAACGTGGATGAAAGTGCTTTGTTAAAAACAAACAAGCTGTCACACCTAGGGAGGAATTACCCTTCATGGGGCGGGCGGATTCAGTCACTTGTGAGGCCAAATTCCATCAGTGACGGGTCACCTTGCTCTCATTCCCAGACCCCTACCTGTCTGTTCCACTCTGTTGGATGCTCCCAGGCCCCCTCTTTTTCAGGGTCCAAGACACCTGCCACTTGGGCTGTCTCAGATTTTGAACTGAACTTTTTATATGGAGAGATCCAAGGTCTACTGATTTTCCTACTTTTCTTTAAAGAATGCCATAAGGACCCTGTCCCTGGGAGAAAACCACCGCCATGCCCCCAGCCAGCCCATCTTCCACAGACTGCATGATCGATAGATTAGGCTCAGTGACACCCCACTTTCCCCAAAGCACCTTTTGGATGTGTGTCACCCTCTACTCCCAGTGGAAATGATGTGGCCTTTTTTTTTTTTTTTGCCCAAGATTCTGCAACAGTGGCTCCCACAGTCAGGACAATAACCCACAACTCTAGATTGCCAATGAGAGCGTAAGAAACTCAGACCATATGTTAAAAAAAAAATGCAAATGGATGCCACCGACTTACCAACTACAAATCGCTTCTCTGAAAGAGCTGAGACCAGCCACCAGCACCACCAGAGGGCACCACTTATAAGTTTGTATCAGAAATCAACCTGAAATTCTCTACAACCGCCAACCTGCTCCGTCAATTGAGACTATTCTCCCCTCAACCTAAGTGACCGGGGTGCTATAGGCTTGGTTCCATGCTGCCCTCCACGGTGCAAAGTACGGCCCATGAGGAGAGACAAAGGGAGTTTTCAGGGCCCACTTCCCATCACTTGAGACTTCTGGTCCAGGCTGGGTGGGATTTCCCAGGGACAGGCTTTGCAGGTGTCTGTGAACAATACAGAAACAGGCAGCCTGTCGGGCTGCCCTTGGACACCCACCTGGCCCCGTGAGGACAGCAGAGGATCCCGTAATGGAGACATGCAGCTGGCCTTGCTGGGTTCCTGTCCTGAGTCCCCCAGGAAGGTCTCAGGAGCCACAGGTAGGTTCCTGAGCTCCGTGCATCTGACAGAGCGAGACCCGCATGCGGTCTCTACAGACTTGTCTGCTGCTTCTGCAGAAGCCACTCACTGTGACACCCATAGCTCTGGACCCTCTGAGCGCCAGAAACCAGAAGAACATTCCAGAACACACACAAATCAAACCCAGGTCAACCAGAGTGAAAACTGACTATGAAGATTTCTGCTCACGACCCCCCAGAGCTTCTATCCACGGACTTCATAACAGCGACAAATACCCCCAAGCCCCCCAACCAAGGTCCAAACAACAGAGCACTGACCGGGGCAGACGAGAGAGGCAAGATCTCTGTACCTCCCAAACCCAGCTGGGCTTTTTATTTGTGTTTTGGTTTTACAGTGTCTGACCAAAAAGCAACATCCTCTGTCTGATCTGGTGGACTGAGGATTTCTTCTGCGGCCCAAAGTACCAGCAAACGAGGTGGGGAGTCCTTCCCAAGCCCGTGGACGTCAGCTCGGGCCGGTTCCCACACTGGGTGAGACTTCCTCAAAACTAAAGAGGTTCGACGGAAGTCATTTTTCCTGTTCCCTCCTCTCCTCCTCTCCCACAAGGCTTACCAATCCAAGCTCACAGCCCTCAGGCCAGGTGAACAGAAAGTGAACGAAAACCAGGTCACTAAATCAGTTGTTAACTTGGAAAAGAGGAAGAGGGGGGTCGGAGAGGAATCCCCAGACAGTGTCTGGGGTGGTAGGAAACCTTTGACCTGAACGTTGGTGCAGCAGGGTTCCTCCTCAGGGTCAGATTCAGATGGCCAGCCAGTGTTCCAACTGCAGAGGAAGACGGCAAGGCTGTTAGGCCAGGGCCAGGGCAGGCAGGGACAGAGGGACAAGGGCCAGCTGAGAAGGGCAGTAAGACACATGGAGGGGCAGAAAACACAGCTGTTTCCTTCAAAGACCCGCAGAACACGCAGGCCAATCCCCTAATTGTCATGGGCACCCAGAAAGGGCAAAGGAGCCTTCACAAAGTCACACAGTAAGTCTGAAGCAGGGGGGCTCACCGGGACCCTCCTGGCTCCCCCACCCCCATATTTTACAGGGGAAAAGGGTAGGACTCAGGTCAACACGTTATTGATGTACCTACAGCGCTTCCTTCAAGATAAGAAATCCTCAGCCTCATTTGGGGATACTCCGTGGTCACAATTCAAAGAGGGAGAACCGAGTTTAGGAAAGTCTGGGCATTTGGTATCTCAGGACCAAGGAGTGGAGGGGCAGGCGACAGCTGGTAGAAGGCAGAAGACAGGCCCCTCTCCTCCGGTTTGTAACATCACACCCCCAGGGGCTATAGCCCACAGCTGCTCTGGGTTTTCTGGAGTGTGGTGTGTGGTCTTGCCTCCGATAGCACAGCAGGGAGCAGTAGGGCCCCCGCCCCGTGGCCCCCATCAAAATGGTCCAAGCTGCACCTACTTGGAACTGCCTGACGTCCCTCTGGGCCACCAGGTGATGCTCGTTCTCTGGGGTGATGCCATAGGCCAGTCTCTGTGAAAGGATGGAGAAGGGGAGGAGGCCTCAGCTTGGCCCAGGGACACCCTTCCAGCAGCCCAGAGGACACCACACATCAGGGCCACCTGCTATTTGGCCCTGAAGTCTCACATGGACAGCAGGAGAGGTTCGTACAAGACACTCCCCACCCTGGTTAGTTCACTTTGAGACATTCATCCAGTGAATGTTTATTGAGTCAATGACTGTAGTCACACACTGGCCTAGGTCCTGGGGATCCAGAGCTGAAGGTCACCCACACATTTTGCTTTGGGAGAGCTTACAGCTCAGGGAAGGGGCTGACACTGAACAGAAACACACACAGGCAGTTTTACAACCACGACTGGAGTCAGTGCTGCAGAGGACAAGTTCAGAGCACAATGAGAACTCAGTGATGGGACCTCAGCCCTGCCTGGGGATTGGGGCTGCCTCCTTGGGCTGTAGACACAGGGTGGACTCAGGGAATGCGTCTGGAATCAATGTCTGATCACTAGAGGGGGATCCCAAAGTGTAGAGAATAAAAAGCTCAAAGCAGGTCCTGGTTCCACGTCCGGGATGAGCTCACAGAACATGGATCTTCCCAGTGACCCAGAGGTTCCTAGACTTTGGGATTTCATGGACAGGAAACATGTCACAGGCAGAGGGGGTCCCAGCCCTGCCCGGGACCCTCTGCCCTAAGTTCCTGTACAGCTCACTCCTTTACGTCCTCCTGTGTCTTTCTGTCCCCTCACGAGAACATGAGCTCCGGGGAATGTGTCTAGAGCTGAGGATACTGCCTGCCCCGTACAGATTCTCAGTAAATATCTGTGAAGGGAGTGGATAAAGGAATGAAGGGATGAGATCTTTATAAGTAAGGGCATGAGGAAATGACTATCACCATTATTTATAAAAGAAAGGGCATTTAACAACCAAACTATAGGAAAGACATAATTTTAATGAAAACGCAGATCATGCGTATATGTATCTGCAATGTACGCAGGTCAAAGAAGAAAATGTATTTTGGAAATCTCTGGTTTAGGCTGATTAGGTATCAGGTTCACAATAGAAGCAGGTGAAAGCCAAGATACAAGGTCACGGTGAGTTTGGATGGGGAGAGTGGGGGACATCTGGGGACATGACAAACCTTAGGAGGTGGGACACAGGAGTGGGCACAGTTAATGCAGATTAACTGCTCTTTAGGGGACTGCAGGGCTGAGCCCCTCACATAAACAACGGTAGGAACAGAGTGGGAGCACACGGCGCATATGACGTTCAACACGATAGGAAGTGCCGCGTGGTGACCATCTACCGTGTGCCAGGCCCTGCGCTAAGCACTTCCTTTCACCTTTCAAGGTCTGTATGATTACCCCAGGTTACAAATGTGGAACCTGAGGCTTGGGGGTAAATAACGTGGCCAACGTGGCAGGTCCGTCTGACTCTAGATTCTGTGTCCTTCTGTCTCCCTCTCTCACCCCAGCGGGAATGACTCGGGATGCCCCCTCCCGTGCTGTCCCCCACCCTCCCCCAGGCTCGGCCCAGAGCTCACCTCGCGAAGGGAGCCCCGCGTGCTGAGGAACTTGTAGACGACGTAGGCAGGCACCAGGACCATGGAGGAGCCCGCGATGCCCCACCCGACCCAGTTGGCCCAGAGTGGGAAGATGTAGTCATCGTAGGTGAGCGGCTTGAAATTGATGATGCTCACGACCACCACAAACTGGGGGGAAGGGACAGAAGGAAGAGGGAGAGGGACAGGGAGAGGGGAGAAAGAGGGAAGGAGGCGGGAGAGAGGGAGAGATGCAGAGAGGGACCAGAGGGAAGTGAGGGCCAGCGTGTGAGATGGATGCAGGAATGGAGAAGATAAGGAAGGAGGGGGATCGAGAGAGAAAGGAGGAAGAATCCAAGTAAGGAAGGATAACAAAAAGGAGACAAAGAAACAGGAGCAATACAAAGAGAAGAAGACTAGAAAGGTGACCTTGGAACTGAGTGGTGGCACAGACAGCCCCCGGCCCAGACCTGGCCCCAGGCTGGCGACCCCTCTCATGTGCAGCCTCCTGGGAATCAACAGGGCGGAGCATCCTGAGCATCTGTCTGCGTGACCAGGGCCCTGCATCCCAACCTCCTCCCCTTAGAGGCAAAGATCCCCACCCCCACCCTCACCCCAGACACACAGCACCCCTCACCCGAGGATGCCCAACCACGCACTACACACCAGGAGGAACGCAGGACTGACAAACTTCCAGCAGAGTCTCCAGTACAGGCCCGGCTTGAACCCCATCATCTGCTGGATGTCGTTGCTGAACCTGTCCACACCTGCGCACACACAGGGCAGGCCCATCACAGCGGCCCCTGCAGAGCCTGGGGCCACCCCTACTGCCTTCCCAAGAGGGTCTGTCCCCAGGTGGACAGCAGAACAGTATCTCCTAAGACAGGGATACCCTGGCACTTAGGCGACCTGGGGACAGGCACTTGGCTGGTTCAGAACAGGGGAGAGAACACACTCAGGGGTAGCATCCCCTGGTAGGTGCCGCCCCACTTCCTTTTTCAGAGGGAAAACCAGGGCTCGGGGAGGGGAGGGGACTTGGCCCTGGTTTACACAGCCAGGGTGGCCTGACTCCAAAGCCCAGCTCTTTCCTCCCGCTCCCTCTCTCTTAAAACAATGATGGCTGTGTATATAGAGCTTTCCCCGACTTTAATCTGGTAGAAGAGACCAGACTCTTTCCAATGAGTAGAAAAGAGTGAGTGACACATGGGGAAAAAATGAACAATGACAACACATTTCACTTTCTACCATGTTCTCCCCATTCAGCTCTGGAATAAGGTTGCCAGAGAAGATAGAGGACACTCAGTTACATTTGAATTTCGGAGAAACAACAAAAGTCATTTTAGTTTAAATAATTTCATGCAATGTTTGGGACATATACTAAAAAAAGGATTCATTATCTGAAATTCAAGTTTAACTGGATGTGTCGTATCCCAGATTTGCTAAACCTGGCAACCCTACTCTAGAGTGAATTACATGGCTTGAGGAGCAGCATCTTCCTCTGAGTTCCTCTCTAACAGCTGACGCTGATGCCTTTGGGGCCCTTGCCTCCTCCTTTTAAAGGGAGCTCATGCAAAGATGAGCTGAGGGCTGGAAGAGCTGTGCCCAATAAGCAACTTGCTCAACTCTGGAATCAGCCAGTGACTGCCCCGGAAATGGAAAGCCCCTTTGCACCTCCAGGTGAAAAGGCTCCAGAAGCACATGGGGCCCGAGGCTTTTCCACACGCTCAGGACCCAGCACGTACCATAAAACCAGGAGACGCCTATGGCCTCCATGAGCACAGCAAACAGAATGGAGGTTCCCGCCGCAAACGTGTCCAGCAGGGTCAGCACGTATATTCCACCCTGGGGCATGGACAGAGAAAGCCTGAGGCCATGATGGATAGAAATGGCTATCAACTGTTACATCCATCAAAATTGAGCTGTCCCCTGTCCCGCTCACTCAGAACCCACACCCACCCCCAACACAGGTAATGGGGTTTCTGGTGCTACTGTGTTGCTGCTACGTATTCTGTGTATTCACTGGGTCTGAGGGTGGGGACTTCAGCCAGTAAAAAGCAAGATGGATTTTATCAATAAAAAAAAAAATGTTGCCTGCCACGTCAGTAAACAAAAGATGTTGCAGCCATCACATTATAGCCACCCCTCTGAAGGTGAGCTCTGAGGGAATTCAGGATAGAAACAGCATGCCCGCCATCTAGCAGTCAGCAAAAAGCTCGGATACTGGCCCTAGATAGCTGAGGTCCATATCAAAGGAATGATTTCAGTGAGCCTAAACTCTTGCATCTTCCCATACATGGAAAAGCATGAGATTCCTTAACTTGAGACGTCTGGTTTTCTTTAGTCAACAGTAATCTTTTGATGTAACAACTACCTGGTCTTTGTCGCAAAAACTCATGTATCCTGGATCCTCCCTTACCTCTCTGGAGCAGTCCCTCAGAGCTATCTGAGATGCTGTGTCCCAGGCTTAAGTCCTCAGTTTTGTCCACCGAACAAAACATAATTCTCAGCTTTCAGGTTGTGCACTTTCTTCAGTTGGCAGTTTAAAATGGACTTTTGCTGTCCCCCCAAACCAACAAGCAGTTGAAAGATTTGTCTGGATATCCTCAGGCTCAGAAGGGACAGATAACAATGGGGTGTAACCCTAAGGGACTGGGCCACGGAGTTCAGGATACCAGGCACTGCCATGGTTCCCCTGAGCTCACCCTAGCCCTACCCGCCAGCTTCAAGTCTGGGAATATCTGGCTGGATTGAAATGCAGCCTCAGAAGCCCCAGGTGACCCAGAGCCCAGCCCCCCTCACCTTGGTTATGCAAAACAGGGCCAGAAGGAAGGTTCCAAAGGAGACACCAAATGTGAAGAGTTTCCGGTGTCGTTTCAGGACCTGGAAGTCGTCGGCCAGGCCCGTGATGACCGCCTCCATGCCTCCCATCTGAAGGGAACCAGGCAGGTGGGATACAGAGGTGAATGAAAAATGTTGTCCAACATATCAGCAAACAAAGGATGCTGCAGCCACCAAGCCATCAGCCACTACTGCTGCCCCCGCAAAGGTGCACCTGAGGGGACTCAGGATGGGAAAGAAAGGATACTGGCTCTACATAGATCTGGTGCATATCAAAGGAATGATTTCAATGAGCCCAGACTCTTGCATCTTCCCATATATAGAAAAGCGCTAAATTCATTAACTTGAGATGTCTTGTTTTGTTTAATTAACAGTAATCTTTTGATGCTCTGACCACCTGGTCTTTGTTGCAAAAACTCCTACATATCCTGGTTCCTCCCTGACCTCTTCAGAGCAGTCCCTCAGAGTGATCTGAGAGCCTGCCTCCCAGGCTTAAAGTCCCCAGAAAGTCTGCCAACTGAAACATAATTCTCAACTTTTAGGTTGTGCACTTTTTTTTTTTTTTTGGCCGCATCACGTGCACGCGGGATTGTTAGCTCCCCAACCAGGGAGTGAACCCGTGCCCCCTGCAGTGGAAGCTCGGAGTCTTAACCACTGGACCACCGGGGAAGTCCCAGGTTGTGCATTTTTTTTTCAGTCAACACAGGAGTGAGGGACTCTCTGAACCCCAGTCTCAGGCCTCCCGGCTCCCTTGGACCTCCCGCAGCCCTGGACTCATGAACCCTGGAGGCTGCCTTGCTTCTCTAGAGAAATCAGCAGATCCTCCCTTCTCCCCATCCTCTCACCCTACTTCTGCCCTATTCTCAGCCAACCTCAGAACTCAGAAACCATGTGGGAGAGGGTGAAGAGATAACTCCTGTCTCCCCCTTATCAACAGGGACCTGACTCCTGTCCGCTCACTCAGCCTGAGTGGATGCTGATGAAATACCGTGGGAAGAGTGGTTGGTTAGAGAACAAGAGTTCTAGCCACGCCCTCTCTGAATTCAGTGTCCCATCTGTAAAAGGAGAGCATTGGGCTGGCTTATCTGAGGTCCCTTCTAAGGTAGAGTTCCATGATGTCAAGTAGGTTTCTCTTGGCTCTTGGCTTTGGCCTAAATCTTGCCTTTCTGAGTGAGTACTGATTTCCTTGTTTGCATTTAAATAAGGTCTTCTGCAAACAACTACTGATCAGGGGCTTGAATGCGGGGCAACTCTGAGTAGTGTGAGTGTAGTTAGGGGAGGGAGGGCCAGGTCTAGTGGTGTCTGTGGGGGGATGGTATCCCGAGCCAGGTCACTCACTGAGCTGTCAATTCCCAGAGCCAGGAGCATGACGAAGAACACGACAGCCCAGAACGTGGATCCTGATAGGGTGGAAATGGCTTCTGGGTACAGGATGAAGACCAGGCCAGCTCCTGTAAGAAACATCAAGGACCTCATTAATAGCTGGGACTGTTGGTCTGAGCTGCAGATGATAGGAGAGCATTTTGAGGCCCAACAAGCCCCAGCCCAGCCCCATGATAGTTGGGCAGTCATGTGTAGATGGAGCAAACCAAGGTCTAAAGATGACTGATGAAACCAGCTTCAGCCTGAGTTCACCTACGCACCAAGGAGGTTGACCTCAAACAGCCAAGCCAGAGGGCAGTGCCTCTCCTGGACAGCTACAGGCAACGGGCCTCAAACCCCACCTCCTGCACCCCATGAGGGATCCTCTTACTCTCAAAACTTTGTGATTTTCAGAGTCCATCAGAGGCAGCCCCTCCCCAAGTCTTGGCCTGTTTGTGGCCATAAGAATATGAGAAGCAGCGGGGAAGGACACGAGCTGGTTGAACAACTTCAATCGCCTGAGTCTCAGCTTTCTGATCTTTAAAGTGGGTCTATTAACACTTGCCTAGTAACACTGCAAGAACTAAACCAAGATACGTCAAGTGCTTAGCACAGGGGCTGGTACAGGGTCAGTGCTCCCAAATCTATCTGGTCTGGCCTGACTCAGAAGATGATTCTGCCTGGACTTCCTACTGATGGCCTCAAAGAAAGTGGGCAGCTGGGAAAGCTCCGTGTCCAGCCCTCTCAGTCACACAGCCACAGGAGAACTGCTAAGAAAGAGGTGAGTTTTGCAGCCCCCACCTCCTCAGTGGGCGAGTCTGCCCACCCACCTTCAGTGGCAACATCCTCAATGTTGACCTTGTGTTCATGGGCCATGTAACCAAGGATGGAGAAGATGGCGAACCCAGAGATGAAGCTGGTGACACAGTTGATGGTGCTGGTGAGCAGGGCATCCCTGAGAGAAAAGAAAGCACTGTTAGTTCAAGTGGTCTGACTCTCCCCAACCCCGCTTATGGACTGCTGGATCATCTATGGAATCCACGGCTTCAAATGCCAACCCCCTCTTCAGCGCCCCTGCTGCCACATGGGCCCCCAGCACCCCACCATCACAGGGTCAGAACCTGTAGGTGCAGGAAATAGGTCAGCAGCTTCTGGATGAAACACTTTAACACCAGAGCCTGATATCGAACTCTTGCTGGGAAATCGAGGCACCAGCCTCCTTCCTCAACAAACTTTCTGTGGCTCCCCAGTGCCTCCCAACTTTTCACCCAGGCATTCAAGAGCTTTGCTGAGATGACCCAAACTTCTTTCCAGGCTTATTTCCCATGACTCCCCAACACGTACTCTCTGAGCAAACCAGTCAACTTGCTGGTTCACGAACACACCACCTCCCCTGGCTTTGCTCATGCTGTAAGTTGTCCACTCACTCCGTGTCTGCCTATCCCAACCCTAACTATCTTCCAAGGCTCACCTCAAATGCACTTCTGTGCTCTTGCTGACCCCCCATCAGATGGCTGATCACCCCATTTCCTTAGCCTCCCTAAAGCCTGTCCCACTGGTATGCATTCATCCTACTCTGTCTTGTACCAGGGAGGTTATGATTCTGTCTTAAGCCTTTGATAGAGAGGGATGGAAGCAGCCCCATCTGTGCCCATGTCTGAAGCCCTCACAGCACTGGGGCTGCAGGAGGCAGCATTAAATGCTTACAGGACCAGGTGATCTAGAGCATGGTCTTCTGACTCTACAGCACTGAGCAGACTTCTCATTCTGCTGTATGGTCTTAAGCTCTGACCCTGCTAGGCCCTCACCCCTCAAGCAACCAGCCTGGATATTCCAACCTTGTCTGCCTGGGCATCAGATGGACAGACAGGCAGTGCTGGCTGCTCTGAAAGCCACACAGTGCCCCTCTGTCCCAGCTACCCACCCTCATGATATCCCAGTGTTAGTGGCCTCAACTTTGCCAGCTCCTCACCCTGCATCTATCTGGGAGGTGTCCTGAACTGACATATGTTCATCAGGACCCCCGTAGGCCATGTTGGAGTTCACAGAACATCCAGGATGGTCTACTCTGCTTCATTTCCCGGGGAAAGAAACCCAAGCAGAAAATTTGACTTGTCCCAGACCAGAGCCCTCTCTCCCATCCCTGCAAGGGTTGATTCCCAGGATTTAGAGCTTTCCAGAGCCCCAGGAAGGATCTTACCTATAGCAGTTGTTGTCAAATTTGTTGTAACTAGCAAATGCAATCAAGACACCAAATCCAGCGCCCAAGGAAAAAAATATCTGAGTTGCAGCATCAATCCATACCTGAAATGGGCAGATAAAGGCCATCACCCTCTGTTTCCACAGAATTGGACTACCTCACTGCTCCAGAAGGGCTGGGAAGTCCCAGGGATGCCCTAAGACCTGAGGAAATGAGGTCTGAACTAGAGATGGGCAGCCATGCAACTCCTGCTCTCCAGCAGCCTGTACAAAATCACTGTACAGAGAGGCTGGGGTCTCTCTAGCATCTCCCAGCCTTGGGTGGTCATGAGTGAGCTCACCCCAGAGGAACTCACTGGCTCAATTTGACATCCTGATTTTCAAAGAAAGTTAATAAACAAAATGTTCTAGACTAGAATGTGGATAGGGCAAGGGCAAAGGGTTATGACTATCTCAGCGGTTATGGAGACAACATCTTCAGAAAGGGGTAATGATTCCTAGTAGCTTCTACCAACCCATAGACAGTGGTGACTCCTTGGTGGCCAGTCGGGTCTACTTCCTTCATCTTTTGGATGATGAAACTGCATGGCTGGAAGCCCGGAGATCTGAGCTCCTCTCCAACCTCTCAGCCTCATGGTCTTGCCCTGGTCAATTTCACTGTCTATATCTCAGTTTCCTCATCTGTACAGTGGGGATAATTTTACCTAGCTCACCAGGACTAAGCCACAATTCGGATTTGTGAGACTTCTGTCATCTCCCCACTCGTGCTATTCTAGACTTCCCCTGCTTTGTAAGAAAAGGGTGTAATGAGAGAAGCAATCTGACGGAGGAAGATATATCTGCTCCCTGAGACGGCACTCAGGCTGAGTTTCTACTGTCCACAAAGACTTAGGATATTTAAACAATGCAGAACAGATAGAACTCTGACTTGCTTCACAATTTACAAGGCTGTTTCATGTCTTACGCTCTGTTATTTTTCTGACAGTTACTAAGGAAGTAGGGTTTTCTCTTGGTTACTGGGCTGTAACCCAGAGTTGTGCTAGGACAATGGGAGGTGTGTACTGGGAGGCATCCGTCCTAATCCTATGTTGATCTTGCCTGCCAGGATTATTATGGGTTCAAGTAGAGTGTGGAGAAGTCTTTGGGGATTATGAGGGGAAATATTGAGGTGTGGTCACTGAGGCAGACACGAGGGAGGAGGTTGGAAATAATCTCAGCTGGGATTTGAAGATGCTCAAGGCACTAGGAACCTCTAAGATTGTCCCTGTTCCCAGCCTCACCGTGCTATTTTGGACTCCACTCCAAAGTCACCCCACCTTCATTGTAATCGCTGCCTCTGGGCAGGACAGTGAGCTGGAGGGGTACCAGAGGCCAGAGTTGGAGACCAGAGTAGAAATAGGGCTAGGGTGGCTGGGGTGAGGCTGGGGCCACGGCACAGGGCAGAGGTAAGAACCCAGGACAGGGTATTGCTTTCCTTGAAAGGAGGGGTCTGCAAAGGCCACTCAACAGAACCACAGATCCCGAGCCATCAGAGCTGGACAGGCTCACGGAGACTGTCAGGTGCAAATCAAATTGGCCTTGGTCAGGTAGAGAAGCTGCAGCCCAGAGTGGGAAGGATCCATCCCAGGCTACGCAGAGCTGGGACCAGATTTTCTTTCACTGCCTGTACCGAGGACCCTCCCCAACCCTGGCCCAAGGGTGGGTGGTCGCTGGGCACTGACCGTGGCCTCTTTCAGACGGTAGAAGTCGATGTGCAGGTAGGCGTTGATGCCATTGGAAGCGCCGGGCAGCGTGATGCCGTGGACCAGGAGTACAAACAGCACGAGGTAAGGCAGCGTGGCCGTGATCCACACCACCTGGCGGTGGGCAAGGTCGCAGTGAGGGCCCGACTCTGCTGCCAGGGGGGCTGGCGGGGGGTGAGCCAGTCACACCCTCCCCACACGTTCCTTCACACCGTGCGCATGCTAAAAGCTCCACCTCTAGGCCAGGCCTGGGGCACTCCAGGACAGAGCGGACAGACCAAGGCTGCACCCCATGAGAAAGTCAGCACCTGGGGGCACCGCTGCCAAGGAAGCCAAGGCAGTGAGGACGCAGACACTCTCGGTGCCCAGCGCCTCCTGCTCTACCAGCTTCCTGCACTAACTAGCACCCTCACCTTTACGCCCTCCTTCCTCCCTTCTCTCCCTCTCTTGTTTACCTTCATTCAAGCGTGTCCTCCTAAGCTCACCACCCAGGGAGGGACGTGGCTGGGCAGAAAGCAGAATCCCTGGCTGCTCTTTATTTGGGGATGGATTTAGGGCAAAGACAAACTGCCTCATCCAGAAACCCATAAGGGAAAAAACTGTCCCCAGACTGAAAAGAGACACCAGCCCACCCTGCCCACGATGAAGAAACAGAGAAGAGAGGCGGGGAGAGGAGAAGGCTGCGTAGGCTTCCTCGCTGTTCCTTCTCACCCCTGACTATACATTAGACGACTCTGGGGGAAGTTACAGACAAAAATGTCCAAGTTCAGACTCCATTTTTGGAGTTTCTGATTTAATTGGTCTGGGATGGGGCTTGCAGTGCCTGCTTTAAAGGCTCCCTCAGGTGGATGCAGGGGACAAAGACAGGTGAGGATCATTTATTGAGCAATTTCCATCTGCTAGCCCAGCAGCGAGGACCTCTCATCCCATCCTCCCAGCTGCCCTGGAGGCGGGCAGGATCAGGAACTGCGGGGTGAGGACACTGAAGCTTAGGGAGCCTCATTCATCCCGAGGTCACCCATTAGTGAATGATGGTGCCGGGACTCCAACCCACCAACCAACACAAAGCCGTGTTCTTAATCCCTCACGCTACTGCATGTTTGAGACCCATGTGCAAGTCCTGGCTCTGCCAGGCTGTGAAACCCTGTCCCTCTCTTGGCCTCAGCTTCCCCATCTGTACAAGCAGGCTGGAGCACATGGCTTTGGAGAACCTTCCAGTTCAACACTGAGGCGTTTGGTACAGGCTTGTAGTTTCTAAGTGCTGGTTCAGCCAACACCTATGAGTGGGGGGTGGGCAGACAGGACTCCAGGGAGGCAAGCAGCACTGTGTGCACACTTGCCCGATGCCCTGGGGGCTGACTGGCCTCCGCCCTCTACCCTGCGGTGGTCGGTGGGCCGGGGTCACAGAGTGTGTGGTCTGCGGTAACCCCTTTCCCTGATTCAGACTGTACCTCGCCCCCCAGTATCCCAGCTGCCAGCTGTGGAGCCATCTTCCCAAGAACAGAGCCTTCACTGGCCAAGACAGGAAGTTTGAACACTTGCAATTCATTTCAGGCCAGCTCTGTGGCTTTGGCAGCCTGCTAAGAAAAGATCCGTGTCCTGTTCCAGACGTAGTCTGGGAAGAAATAAGCAATGCTCTTGGTTTTCTCATGAGCCAGAGTATAAAAACAATGAAAGACAGGACACTGCAATGTCCTGCATGAAGTTCCTTATTCTAGAAAGCCCCTCCCTACGGACTGCAGGGGTCCTCGCCTGCTCTGGAGGCAAAATGTGGGCAGGGACTTCAGGCGGCAAGTTTCCGTCTGCGGGGGGCTTCCTAGGGCAACACTCCTGCCCCACTCGTCATTACACTCCTCAGGGGAGGGTGTGAGTCCTCCTCCTCCAAAGGTGACTTTGCACAAAGAAACGGAGCATGCGAGTCTCCCCTCCTTTTCTCTTTAGCATCAGTCTCCCCATAGACAACTCAGGCCTGCTCCAGCCAAGTGCTAAACAAGGTGGGGCAGGCTGTACCCCTTTGGCCATGGCTACAGGAAACTTAATCTTGAGGTGTAATAGTAGAAGCCCGTGGTGGCCCCTCACCCAGGCCGGCAGCAGTAGTAGAGCTCATACACCTTCTGCAGCTCTGCTGCCTGCAGAGAGGCCAGGAAAGCCCTGCTTTCGATACCCAGGAGAGGCACAGAGAGACTGGACAAGGCTGGCCTGGGGCTTCTGTAGTTTTGCTTGCAGCTGAAAACCCTTTCCCTCTGCCCCATCTCTACCTGACCTAGCCCAATGCCACCTTCTCCATGGTCTTTGCAGACCCTCTCAGTCTGAAGAGCTTCCTTCTTCCACTAATGTAACATCTTATGGTTTTTGGACCATGGGAACTCATGGTAAGAAAAACCTTATTTATCGAGACGTATGGGTTGCTATAACTGAAATGCAAAAATTCCACAAGACATCTCTATCTTTAGTATGTGTAATGCACGCTGTTATTATCTAGACAATTTCATTTTGAAAAATTGTGGTGACCCACTAAATTGATTTAATGACAGTTGAAAAACCCACAGTTTGTATCTCAATTAAAGTGCAACCTACCTGATGTAAAATTGGTTTCAAGGTAAAGTTAAGTTTTTTAAAAAGCAAGATCTATAATAGTGTGTATAGTTTGTGACCATTAGTGTTTATTGAAAGGGGGACACACATATGTCTCGGAACAGAGATGCAAGAAAATAATAACATTGACCTACACCTACCTGTCTATAACACACATAATACTACAATCAATTGAATCTGTCTTATTTCTTCTTGCATCACTAGTACTAGCATCAAGCCTGGCACATAGTAGGTATCCATAAATGTTTACCGAGTTGAATTCAAAAGAACACTTAATGAAGTTCCCCAAACTTATTTACCCACCTACCCTTCTTCCTCCCTTCCCTTCTTTCCTCACTACTCCGTCAATAAATATTTACTGAAGACCTACTATGTGTCAGGTGTTGGGATGATTGTGGTCCTAGCCTGGTTTTGCTCTATCTTAGAATTCCTCCAAGCCCTGGTCTGCATTTCATTTGGGTTCTTCCTTGGGGCAGATACCATGTCTCCATTACGCTGATAGGAAGTTCCACTTCAGGCTCTTGTCAAATTTCATTCCCGTTGGCTGCTGGTCCCCTGTCACTATCTTTGCTATCTATGGCATAACCAAGACTTTAGGAGAACCAGAGAGAACCCTGATGCACACCACTTTTCAAAATCAGTTGCCTAGGGCTTCCCCGGTGGCGCCATGGTTAAGAATCTGCCTGCCAACACAGGGGACAGAGGTTTGATCCCTGGTCAAGGAAGATCCCACATGCCACGGAGCAACTAAGCCTGTACGCCACAACTACTGAGCCTGCGCTCTAGAGCCCGCGAGCCACAACTACTGAGCCCACATACCACAACTGCTGAAGCCTGTGAGCCTAGAGCCTGTGCTCTGCAACAAGAGACGCCACTGCAATGGGAAGCCTGTGCACCACAAGGAAGAGTAGCCCCCGCTTGCCACAACTAGAGAAAGTCCACGCGCAGCAATGAAGACACAACACAGTCAAAAATAAATAAATAAATTAAAAAAAATTCAAAATCAGTTGCCTAATGAAGGTTCTCATAAATTCACGCCTACCTGATTATTGTTGCCTTGTAACCCCCAATGAACGTACACACTGTGTGTTCCACACTGACTCTGGGCTTTACCACAAGACTTATCTTGTTCATTGGGACAATAGCAAGCATGATGAAAACAGAGACTGGAAGAGCTACTTGTACATTGGGGCTTGTCTGCTTGGAACATGCTCTTGGAACTCAGCCATCATGCTGTGACATACCCAAGCTACAGGGCGAGGCTGTATGGAAACTACCCAAGGTGCTCTGGTTGACAGCTCCAGTTAAGCTCCCAGCCAGTACCAACTGCCATCCATGAGTGTTAGCCATCTTGGAGGTTCCAGCCCAGTCAATCCCCCAGACATGTAGCTCAGGCAATATCACATGGAGCAGAAGAACCACCTTGCTGAGCCCAGTCAACCCACAGAATCATGAGAGGTAATAAAATGGCTGTTATTTTACATCTCTACATCTTGAGGTATTTTGTTACACAGCAATAGCTAACCAAAACACTGGACAGAATATTTCCCAGCTACAGCCTCTTTAATACAGCCAAGCTCCACATGGACCCATAGGGTCCAAATGGAGCTGTTGTTCTCATGATATTCGTCGGGCTCAGAATCAATGTGGGCCATGACCTGAGTATACTCCACCATGAGGTGCTGACTATGGGGGGCACTGTCACCTAAGTCAGAATGCCAACTCTGGCAGGCTCTCCTAGGCCATCAAACCCTGTGCTCCTCTCTCCAGGAAACGTAGACCCTTGCGAGCACTCCCCAGTGTGTCAGAGGATGCCCCAGGATTCATCTAGATATCTTCTGGAGCATTCTCATTTACTCAAAAATTCAGAGGTGGGAACAATCAATTTTATAGTGAAGGAAATGGTTATATGCTGGAGAAGGCTGCAATATTTCCATGCAGTTTTAGTCCAGAATTTAAGATTTATCAAACACATGTCAACAGGTTGCTTTGGGCTTTTTCCAGAGACCCTTGGGGTGTCCCGTTCCCTGGTCTCTGCTATTAGGGAGGCTTTGGTGGGAAATTGTGAAGAACTCTGATCCACTTGCACTCCCTCATCCTACTGCTGGGGAGTCCTGGGCTTAGGGAAGGGAGGGGATTCATCTTAAATCTCCAGCAAACCAGTGGTAGAGCTGGGGTGCAAACCCAGGTTTTGTACTTCTAGCTCCACCTTTTCTTTTCACCAACTACCTGTTTATAGGTAGAAAAAAACATCTTTTTTGAGGCCAACCTCCCAACTGAAAGAGAAACAAAGATATTACCTTTCCTGATGTCTTCACTCCTTTCCAGAGGCTAAAAAACAGGACGATGACGACGACAATCAGACAGAGCAAGAGCTGCCACTGGGGCAGGCCAATGTCATGAATCCCGCTGCTCTCGTGAAGGTGCAGGACGCCACGTCTGCGGGGAGGAGAGGGGAATGGACCGGGGAAGATGGTGTCGTCAGGGAGGATGATCAAGGCCTCGACCACAGGCCAGTCCTCGAAAGGGCACATTGATGGAGACAGGCCCTCGGCTGCCCCCGCTACAGCCCTGCATCACTTGGACCTGCCCTGCATCGTCATGGCCTGTGCCCAGCACCTCCCTGCCCTGGGCCAGCAACTCATCTGGGGAGACGTCCCCACCCAAGGCTGCTTTTTAAATGGTAACAGAAGCTTTCAACATAACAAATATCTCTTGAGTGCCACCTGCAAGCCAGGTCCTAGGGAGAGGGTGGTAAATAAACAGAGGAAAGGTCTCTGCCCTCATAGCACTCATGGTCTAAAGCAGTGGACACTGGAACATTTGGCAATGTCTGGAGATGTCTTTGATTGTCACGACTTGGGTAGGAGACATCTAGAGGATAGAGAAGTGGGACATCCTATGATGCACAGGACAACCTAAACATCCTATAAGGCACAGGACAGCCTCCAAAATTCCCATGTTGCTGAGGTTTAGAATCCCTGGTCTAGAGACTGAGATAAGAGTAAACTTTTCTCCTATTTGGGAATATCTACCCCAACTAAAGGTATGTGTATCCTCTGCTTTAGCAATTCCACTCCTGGGTGTTTGCCCAGTAGAAACATTGTACATATGTTCACCAAAAGACATGGTCTAGAATGTTCATAGCAGCATTATTCATAACAACCCCAAATTGCAAAATAAATATCTATAAACAGTAGACTACAGGGACTTCCCTGGTGGTCCAGTGGTTAAGAATCCGCTTTGCAATGCAGGGGATGCTGGTTCGATCTCTGGTCAGGGAACTGGGATCCCACATGCCTTGGGGCAACTAAGCCCGTGCGCCTCAACTAGAGAGAAGACTGCACACTGCAACAAAAGATCCCGTGTGCTGCAACTAAGAACCAATGCAGCCAATAAATAAATAAATATTAAACAAAACAAAACAAAAACAGTAGACTACATAAATTATGATATATTCATAAATTGGAATATTATATAGCAACTAGCTCCGTATGGATGAATCTCACACACCTAATTTCGTGAGAAAGAAGTCAAAACCGAAAGAGGACTGCTGGGGGCAGGTGACAAGGCTGTGGACAAGCAGGTGATGGTTCCAGCCACATGGAACTCCTGGGTGACAATAGCTGGTGCAAACATTCCCCATCTTGAGCCCTTTTCCTCTTCAGTAAAATGGCTCTCGCGAGGCTTACGTTGCAGAATGTGAGACAGTGCCTAGAACCCAGGAGATGCTCAGCGCCAATGGTCATTGTAACTATCATTCTGACTGAGTCCCAGCCTTCAAGGAGCAGCAGGCATTGGCAAAGAAGCTAAGGAGTGCCCAGAAAACTCCTGAAAGGGAGTCACTGTGGCGGGCTCCACTGAGGGGCTGGCTGGTGCCTTCTCTGCGGGCCTGTGGGAGAGCCGGTGAGTTGAGAAGGGGTGGCCAGGTGTGGTAGGGGCGAGATGGGGAGAGGGAGGTGGGTGGTGACAGGAAAACAGAGGAGTCTGCAGTGAGCACTCAGGAATGAATGAGCAGAGCTGTGTGTCTGATCAAGGCCCACAAAGACCCGTGTCCCCATCTCCAGAACGGCCTTCATCTCCACTGCCCCCAGGCAGGATGCTGTGGACACAAACTACTCAACCTGCATCAACTTTCCTGAGCAATCAGTCTCTGTGTCTGGCCCCTCCTAGCCCTAGCTCTTGGAAATCAGCTCAACCAACACCCCCGTCCTCATGGCCCGATGCCAGGCCAGACCCACATTCTGTTCCTCCAGGACTACTGTAAAAACCTCCCCATCCTCCCACCACCCCAGTCTCTCTACCTCCAGTCAGCCTCCTTAAATCTACAGTCTGTGCTGCTGTAGAACCATCCGATTCATCTGAAGTTGTGTTCTAACTTTGTCACTCTTCTGCCCCCAAATCCTCAGAGGCTCCTTATCACCTAAAACAGTGGTTCTCACTGGGGGCAATTTTGCCCCTGCTTCCCCTGGACGCTTGGCAACAGCTGGAGACATTTTTGGTTGTCACAGCTGGAGGGCAGAGGGGTGTTACTGGTGTCTAGTGGGCAGAAGCCCGGGATGAGGCTAAACGTCCAAAATGCACAGGACAGCCTTCCCACCGCAGTTATCCAGCCCCAAACGTCAACAGCGTCAGCGCTGTGGAATCCTGGGAGAGAGGATAAAAACATGTGCCTTTCAGAATCGGAGGCCTTTCTCAGTCGCCCTGTACCAAGGGCACCCCATGCCTTGCCACACCATGCCTTTGGCTCCTGGCGACCACCAGCCACTCGTCATTCCCGAATTATATGAAGCCCTCGTCACTCTAGGCTTTGGAACCATCTGTTCCTTTATGCCTAGAACACACTTCCTGGCCCAATGTGTCTGCCTGGTGAACTTCTGTCCCTGCTAGTCTCAGCTCAAAACTGAGGCCCTGGCTGAGGTCCCTCTCCTATGATGAGAAGGAGGGAGAGAGTGGGAAAGGGAGGGAGAGAGAGAGAGAGAGAGAGAGAGGAAGAAGAAGGAGAAGGAGGGGAAGGAGGAGGAGGGGGAAGAGTAGGGGGAGAGAGAGGAAAAGGAAAGGGAGGAGGGGGAGGGGAGGAGGGGGGAGGGGGAAGAGTAGGGGG